CTAGCCAGCTGGTGGGAAAAGTCAGTCAAGAGGAAAATGGTGAAGACTGGCCCTGATGGCTGCATTGTGTCATCTCAAGTAGGGCCTGGCCACGGGCAGGAGGAGAGCCTCTCTTCCACTCAGCTGGTATTATGGACTGAATTTTTCCTCCTCATCAAATTCGTGTATTGAAGCCCTAGCCCCCAGTATGGCATATGTAGAAATAGGGTCTATAATGAGGTGATTAAGGTTAAATGAGGACATAAGGGTGGGGCCTTGATCTGATAGGACTGGAGTCCTTTAAAGAGAAACCAGAGAGATCACTCTCCATCTCTCTGTGCTGCCCAGAGGAAAGGCCATGTGAGGAAAGCATCCACAGCGAGCCAGGCAGAGGGCCCCCACCAGAGCCAGACCCGCTGGCCCCTGAACTGGGACTTCCAGCCTCCAGAACTGTGAGAAAGTGTCTGCTGTTTAAGCCACCTGGTCTGTGGTGCTTTGTTATGGCAACTTGAGGGGACTAAGACCTCTGGGAAGGAGGGAACAGGAGGGTACAATTTAGACACATCCCTAAGGACAAGATACTGGTCAGAGGAGGCTCTTGCCCTGATGCTCAAGAAGTGGGAGTAAACCTGTGTGTTGAGAAGGTCAGAAATTTGAAAAAACACTCACACTTCAGAGAGAGTCTCTGAGAGCCACAAGGGAGGGGACAGCCACCAGACATCTGGGGATTCTGGAGAAGACTGGGCAACTCAGGAACCCTGGCAGCATTGCAGGCTGGAGCTGCAGGACATGATCAACCAGGGACGGCCCTTCCCCAGATGCCCCTTGGAATCTGACAGACACGGAGTATTGCAGCTGGGTGGACCTCAGGACATTCTTATGTTCTCAAGTCTTCATGAATGCTGAGCGGTCCTGTTTGTACTGTAAGCAAGTAGATAGGATCTGAGTGTTGTGGGTTTACCTAGGGCAGCAGGTTGCCCCAGAGCCCAGTGAAGGTCAGTGGTGGGGAACCTCAGCTTACTAAGGGCGGGGGCCAAATCAGGGGCCACTGGAGGAGGCTGCTCTGATGGTAGAGCTCTAATCCTGATTACTAAGTCTGGGCTTTCAGCAAAGGGTGCCAGGAAGACCACCATACCCTCCCTGGCATGGGAGGAAACCACAGGGTGGGGATAACAGGGACAAGGTAGAGGGAGGCAAGCTCTGCAGGAATGCTGGAGGGTGACAGCAAAGCTAAGAAAAGGAGTCTCCTAAACAGTTTGGGAAATGTATCTCCCGTTTGAGTTTGTGACCCCACATTCCTTTCTGGACCCCTCAATAAAATGCTGTGTGTAATTCAGTATTTGTTTTGTGTTTTATAAAGCAACTAGATTAAACTGAAGTTAATGTCATTTTGACATTTGGGAAGGGATTTTAGGACAGCCATTTGGCACCAGAAATCAGAGCAGGTCTCTTTATGGGAGCAGATGCAGGTGCTGGTTAAGGACACATGGGTTTGTATCTTCACACTGCCATGTCCAGCTGGGTGACCTTGACAGATGGCTTCACCTCTTTCTGAGCCACAGTTTCTTCATTTGCACAACGAGGGTAATGACTGTTGGTGTGAGAATCAAATCAGATAGTGCTGCAGGACTCAACAGAGCACCTGGTGTGAAGTAAGTACTCAGGAAGAGAAGCCTCTATCTCCGTCATCATTGTCATCAACCATATTAATCATAAAGGCAGTAAGAATTTCAAAAGAAACCCACAAATACTTCCTCAGAGGATTAGAAAGTGATTTTTCAGGTATACATAAATCCCAGGGACTCTTCTCTGAAGAGTTATCAGTGGTCAGCTCCTCTGGGGACCCTTGCAGGCCTTCCTAAAATTCCACTCACTGAGGCACCACGGAGCTTGTTGGCCTCTGGGTCCAGGTGCACCTCAGAGATGGGTAGGAGCCACCATGTGCTTCTGTGTGCCAGACCTTGTTCCTGGACTTTTGTATGCTTCTGAGCAGTCTGAGGAGGGATGGAGAGAGGAGGGAGAGTGGGAGGGAGGGTGAGAAGATCAGGGAAGCCATTCCTTGCATAAGTCGTCTTGTCTGGAAATGGGTTTTCATCAGGTGCACTTGCTCTGTCTTCTGGCTCAAATTCCCTGTCACTGGCCCCATTGCCCTAAGCCCATCATGTGGTGAACACCTATGACTAGTCCTGTGAATGCATTTCCCTTGAAATATGACAAGCTTTAAGGCAATGGTTCTGAGTCACAGGCAGTTTTGCCCTCCCTCCTTCCAGAGGACACCAGACAACTCTGTAGGCATTTTCTGTTGGCACAGCTTGGAGAGAAGCTACTGGCTTCTAGTGGGTAGAGGGCAGGGATGACACTCGACACCATACAATGCACAGGGCAGCCCCCACAACAAAGAATTATCCAGCTCTCCTCCCTCACTCCATCCTCATTATCCCCCCACCCCATCACTTCCTCCCATTCCACAGGAGAGCGCAGCTCTCTCCCTGGCACTCCTTGTTGAAACCTCAAATTTAATATACCCAGGATAATGGTGTCAAAGTTAAGAAACCCTGCTTTAAGGAAAAGCAGCCCACATACCCTGCTTAACTCACTAAGGTGATCAAGTTGGCAGTCTGCCAGATGCCAGGGATTAAGAAGCCCTACTTTGAATGGCTAGTTTTCCTTTGCTTGACACATTTATGTAAAATTTTGTAAGCAATGACTGCTTCCAAGATGTCATTCTTAATTCCTCATTGCTCTATGAAACCACTGCAGCTCAAGACACTCCCTATGGATATCATCATCATTTCATTCATTCATTTATTCAACCAATACACACTTCACTGAGCTCCCTTTTACACTATGACTGGCTCTAGGGACAGAGGGTGACAAGATGGAAGCTTGGCACTCAAACTAAAAGTATGCACTGGGGAGGTGGGGAGGACAGATGTACTAGTAAATAATGACAGTATCATTCCAGGTACAAGTCCTTATGGGATACACGGGGGTGGGAGTAGCAAAGGAAGGTGTGGTCAGTATTTCCTTTGCAGGCTCAGAAATTGGCCCCATCAGCCATCATCACATTTTGATTCTCACTTGCCAGAGACCCTTCTGACACCTCCCTGTATGGAAAGACAAGATGGGAAATGGTAATAAGCAATTTGGCCTAACAATGTCCCATTAGGAAGATGCCTATGATCTCCCTCAAGGGAATTCAATTTTAAATCAAATGTCTGACCTCTCAGAATAAAGTAAACAGAAGGAAAGCTTTATAGCCTTGGAAATACTCCAACCAAAGTAGGTCAGTTTCATTCCTGTTTGTCAAGGGAGTTCTCTGCCAAGAAGTGTGAGACCTCAGGTCCAGAAGAGCCCATAAAATAACCAGAGGACCACTACTCATACATAGGAAATTATCATGTAATAATAGAAGGCAGTACAGGAGAGTGTGAAAATGACACGAAAGACAAAGGATGTAACTTTGTCTTGGTGGCTGGGAATCAAGAGGTCTGGGTTCTGGTTCCAGCTCTATGACTAACTTGCTGATTTGGGGCAGGTCCCTTCTCTCTACAGGTCTCAGTTTGCTCACCTGTAAAATAAGGGGATTGGACCAGGGTATAATGAAGCATTCTTCCCAGGCAGGCACATTGAAGACTTGAACCCTCATTTACCCTTCTGCTGAAAATGTAGGACTTGAACCTCAGTCTTGAAACCCGGACACCTGTTGCTTTCTGATGATAACTTTAGGGTTACTGAAAATACTTAAAAAGGAGGCTAGAAGGGTCAGAAAGAGGGAGCTATTGCCTCTCCCATCCCTAGGCACTGAACAACAATACACCTTTAAGCTGTATTTGGCTTGGAATTGTCCCCAGTGCCCCAGGTGGCATTTTCCCAAATTGGGAGTTCAGACTAATGAGTGGGTATTGCTGCTTTAGCACCTTCCAGCGCCAGCACTGCCACTGAAAAGGGCTCCAAGGTAACAAGGAGCTAGGAATGACAGCCCCAGATTCCACTCTTTCAGACTACTGCAGCTGGAATGTCACGAGCTGCCAGAAGGATGGGCATCTCCTGAGCATCATCCCATCAGCTCCAGGAGAAGAGGTTTTTCTTAAAATCAAACAGGACAGGACAACACAAAGGCCACCGGACAGTAGCAAGGAATTGCCCAGGACAGGGACTGTAACTCAGAATTGGATCCCAAAGCGCTTTTCCGGAATTCTTAGGACAGAGCCTCAGGACCCATGGGAGCGCTGAGGAGGGGAAGTGGCACCTGAGCCTCACTCCCTACCCAGTCACCCTTCCCTGTTCCTTCTATCCAGGCAGAAGGGCTACAGCCATTCTCATCCACGAATCCCGGTGGGAGCGGCCCGGGATTCCCAGGAGTTTCTGTGGGAAAGGAAAAAAGCCGCCCTTCTTCCTCCTTCCCTTTTCTTTTCCCACTCCTGCGCGGCGCTGGTTTGCGGGAACTGGCTGCTCCCAGGAGCCCCCAGACACTCAGACTTTAGGGGCCAAATCCCGTAAGAGAGAGGAGGAGGGAGGGAGTTGCAAACGGTTCCATCGCAAACCCAGAGGCCGGCCAGAGCGTTCCGGGGTTTCCTATCTGCAACCGGGTGTGTGTGGAAACACCAAGGCTTTGGGGCAGACGGATGCAGGTTCCAACAGTCCTCTCCTGGGGCAAGATTTTTGGCTTCTCCGAACTTTGGTTTCCTTGTCCATAAAGAAGGGTGAGAATATCAGCCTGGATAGGCTATTATGGGGTTCCAGTGGAGGCAAAGTGCCCACCCAGCACAAGAGGCACTGCCAGACGCGGCTCCAGGATTTTCGTCCCGGCGCAGCACGGAGGAAGGTGTGGGCTGGAGGACCAGGGCTGCCTCCGCTTGGCGCACACACTGTTTTTTTTCCGGGGAAGCTGGGCAGACACTGTTGAGGGCACAGGGGTGAGAGTTCCCACTCTTCTGCGGAAGATCTGGGAGCCCCCGCCAAGCCCATCCCGCGTGGGACCCGAAGGAACCCTTCACGCTCAGGGGCGCAGTACTCACAGAAAGCGCGGCGCAGACGAGCAGTAGCACCAGCGGCCGCAGGCTGGGGCGCATGGTGCCCCGCGCGCTCTCCGCGGGAGCCTGGACGGCACCCGCCCAGGTGCACCTGCGGCTCAGGAGCTCAGCGCGTCCCGAGGGGGCCCGGACCCCCGCCGGCTGCCGCGACCCGGGGAGCCATGGCTGGACCCTACGCCGCGGCGGGCCCGGGACTGCTCCTCCTCGGACGCCTAGCCGCCCAGCCCGTTGATGAGGACGCGGAGCTATCCGCGCTCCTCCACCCAGCCCCGGCAAGCAGAGGGCTGGCGCGGAGCTGGCAGGGGAGGAGCGGAGGGAGGTGCAGACCCGGCCGGCTCCCGCAGGCTCGTCCCTGGGGCGGAGGAGGCCAGGGGAGGGCCAGCTGGCTTAGCTTTCCACGCTGCCACGCCCCCAAGGCCGGGAAAAGCCCTGAGTTCTGGGTCAGCCGTGCCACATCTTTCTGCAAACAATGGGCAACGTATGCGCTTTTGAGCCTGTTCTCATCTTTAATGACACGTCTAAGGGTTGAAGGAAGGCCGAGCTAGTGCCCCAGGACATAGTGAGTGCTAGGTAGATGCTATTGCATCCCTTCGGGGGACAGCTGCCTTGAATTTTGTCTCTGATTTTCACTTTATATGTGTTATTGAAGCCATATCATACATGCCCGATCCATGAAGTTCACTCCCATGAGCACTATCACACAAGGAAGCCTTGATGATCCGGGAGACCAAGGAGGACCACCCAGCACACCAGGCGTTTGGAGATGAACTGCCTGGAGGCTTTGGGCTTCCTGGTGTCCCTGGAAGCTAGTAGCACCAGGCAGACCTCGCAGCAGCCTGCTCAACCCATCTGAGTGCTATAATAGCCTCTCAGTTCCAGGTACCCCCGATGGCTCTTACAGACCCAGTTTTTTTCTTCCTCGGCACTGATGTGCACTTCCTTCCCTCCTGTCTCTCCTTCTATGTTGACCTTTTGCCCAGGCACTGTTAGTACATCAGCTCAGTGAATTCCCCCCAAACCCTGTGGAATATGATGCCACTTTGACAGAGGAGGGCATCGAAGGTGGAGGAGGACTGATGTTTCCAGGTACATGTATCTCAGGTCAGATGGGAAAGTCTGGGCCTGCTCCACTTCTGCTGCTGACCCTGAGTCTCTGTGATTGACCTCTGCTGTTAACAGGACATGCCCCAGCCCTCAGCAGCCTTCCTGCCTGAAGAGGCTATTGATAAGGTAGTATATATCAACCTAAAGTATATATAACCATGAGCTGGATTTTAGGAACTTTTGCTACAAAAATATTCACCCAAAGACCCCGTGAAATGCATGTAAGGATGTTTGTGGAAGCACTATGACAGTGGCAGAAAACTGGAGATAACATACGTGGAAGGGGGACATTTAGTCCTACCTTTGATATTCCTTCCTCCTGGAATGCAATCATTAGTATAATCCTGACCTCTCTCTACCCCCTCCTTAAATCCCCGCTCCCCGCAACACACACACACACACACACACACACACACGAGGCAAGCTCTACATGACTGATGCATTTGGGATCAGGACTGCCCTGAGGTTCTGCCCCCCAACTCTCCCCTGCCTTTGACAGCACTCCCACCTGCAAAGACCCTGTAACTGAATTGTCATTAACACACACACACACACACACACACACACGAGGCAAGCTCTACATGACTGATGCATTTGGGATCAGGACTGCCCTGAGGTTCTGCCCCCCAACTCTCCCCTGCCTTTGACAGCACTCCCACCTGCAAAGACCCTGTAACTGAATTGTCATTGATGGTCAAAGCTCTGCCCTTGCTGATTCAGTATCGTGAGTGGCAGGATGGTGATCTATCGAATTTTGGAGTTCAGTGTTAGAAAACCCACTTGCCCACAAGTATAAATTACATTTTCCAAGATCAACTTTTTCACTAATGAAAGTGATATTCAGCCTCATCTGTCTTAATCTTATTTCTCAAAGGGTTCAAGATTCAGGTTGGAAAGAAAAATGTTATTTCCTGGGCCCCACAAACCCAATGCCCTAAATGTGCATCAGCAAGAGCATGAGGTAAGGGTTTGCCATCTTTACTGTGTAGACTTCCATGTTGCTTCAATATTTCCTGTAACCACTGTCTGTACTGCCTTTTTGCTGGAAAGAAATAAAAAGAAAACAATATGAAAATGCAATCTGTGTTCAATACCAGAGCCTCATGACCTCTAGTGAAAAAGCAAAACAGCATTTGTTCTGGGCAATTCAATATATTTCTGGCCTGTGGCAAGTCACTCTCCTTAAATGGGGGCTCTGCTTCTCACAGCATTGAGGAAAAGGTCTGAAGTGGTCTGTGAGAAGCCCTTTTACAGGCCATGGATATAATTAGTAGCTTTGAAAAACCTGCTTGAGAAAACAAATTCTTATAGGGGTGGAGAATTAGCAATATATTTAATACCTGCCATGTCTAGGAAGTGTTTTGGAATTTAGAGTATGTTAATAGCCAATCCTCCAAGACAATATGAGAGATATTTGCTGTTGATTAATAGGATGGGAAATTGAGGCTTAGGGAAGGTAAGCACATGCCCCCAGTAACACAATTAACAAGGGCTGGGGCCAGAATTTTAACCCAGACAGAACCTGAAGCCCGTGACCTGTGCCCTTTGCACTGTACTAGGATTCCTGTCGGTCATGAAGATAACTTCCTTGCCTGTGGGGCTTCTGAAACTCTCTTGCATGCATCATTTCACCTGATGCTCAAAACAACTCTGTGGAGTAAGTAGGACCAGCACTCATAGCCTGGCAGAACAGGGAGAACCTGATGCTTGAATGGTCTCATTGAAGAGAGTTCAATGAAGGGACTATGTGCAAAGGTGCAGGCAGGGTTAAGGGAACCAAAGGAAACAGTGAAGTGCCTGGGATTACCAACAGAGGGCCTGAAGAATGGCAAAAATTCTCTCATTGCCAAACTTTAGTCAGGCACTTCTAAGCTTTCTTCTTGGCTAGGCCTCAACCTTGGCCCCACCTGTCTTTGGCCAGCCCAGCCCAGTCTCAGCAAGAATCCTGTCCTCAGTTTAGTGAGAATCCCGCTGACTCTTGATATCTTATCATGTCTGATTAAGTTCCTCATCTCCCGCCTTTGATATCTTGCCTGTCTTCAGCAAGAATCCTGTTAGTTGGTTTAGCAAGAATCCCCCTATCTGGATGTCCCCTCTTAGTAACCTTCCATCCACTGGCCCCCTCACCCTGCTGCTTGGCCATAAATGCCCACTTGATCTGATTGTATTCCAAGTTGAGCTTGATCTCTCTCCCCTATCACAATAACCCATTGCAACAGTCTTGAAAAAAGTCTTCTTTGCATTTTAACAAGTGTCAGAATAATTTTTTTTTAACAAGGGGCAAACAGTGTTCCCAGAACTGGCAAGAGCTATCCTTGAGAGGGGAGCTATCCAGAGGACCATAACCATAGAGGAATGCAGCCACTGTCAACACTGGGGCCTGGCAAGGGGATTGGCTGTTGGGATAAACACCTTGACCTGTCTTCTCCTGTCCACTGATCTCTTGTGATGTCTTTCATTGGCTGTCCTCAGCCCAAACACAGAGATAAGGTACACAGATGGGGGAGAAACTGTCCATGGAGTTTAATCTCCTGGATGGGGAAAGTAGAAATGGATTTTGGAGGGATGAGGCCAAAGGAGAATAACCCCATGTGGATATGACTTTACACCCATTCACCAGATGGAGAAATGGAGATTTGATGAGGAAAACTCAAGATCTCACAATCGGGAAGTACGATTGCTGGTCTTGAAACTCAGGTCTTTTGATTTCCAGCCCTGAATCATTTCCATCACCCTTATCCCCATAATATCCAGACGTGATGGAAAGCCCCAGTATGATCTATTATCATTTCACAATTCTGGGCTCAGCCAGGCAGTTCTCATTCAGGGTGTCAGACAGTGGCTAGGATCAGAGTCACTCTAGGATGTGCTCACTCGGATGGCTGTGGCTGGAGAGCTGGGGCTCCTCATGTATCTCCCTCTGTCTCTATGTGCTCTCTCCATGAGGTGCTTCAGGGTGCCTGGACTTCTTACTGAATGGCTTATGGTCCCAAAGATGTGGAACCCAAGAAAGAGCAGGTAGAAACTGTATTGTGACTTATGACCCAGCCTCAGAAGTGACACAGTGCTACTTTTGCTGTCTTCTGTTTTCAAGGCAATCACAAAAACCTGGACAAGGTGAAAGGGAGGCAACATAAACTCCATGTCTTGATGGGAGAGTGAGAAGATTCCAGATGAGTATGTGTCACCATAAATACTGTTACAGCAATTATGGGGAAATTCTCTACTATACACCCTGTAAACTTCATTATAACCTGCATGAGTTGTGACAGAGAAGGGCCATCTCTTCAATTTGAGGGCTTTCCAGATCTTGATTCTAATCCCTTTCTTCTGGCACCACTGCAGAGGTAGAGTTGGGCATAGAAACCTATGGCAGGACCACCCCAAACCCAAGAGATTCACGCTCTCTTAACAGTAATTTGCAAGTTACCCTGGGGATGGGAGACCCTGTATCTGATTCTGTGGTAATTTGTTCTCCATTGGTTTCCTACAGACATTCTTATCATTCCTGTGAGGCAGAATGTAAGGGTAAATACTGAAGAGTACCAGAGTATGTCACCCTAAATATGTCACTTTGGTATAAGGATTATTCTGAGCTAAAGGCAACTGAGAACCAGCAGCCACAAGGAAAGCTCTTTGCCTCCCTAACTGTGTAATAATGAAGTATAAATGTGCCTTTTGATAAAGTAAATTTCCATTTGTAGAAAAAGTCTCTGTACCAGGAAAAAAGCTATGTCTGATGACAATTTTTATCACCTGAGAAACCTTTATGCATAACAAGACAACCCTGTTTGCCATACATTTCCTCCCTTTCTCGTGACTTGCCTCCCCCACCCAAGCCCCAACCCTGCTTATTTACTGTTTAAGCTAAGATGGTATATGAGCCTCAGTCATCTGGCAGCCTCCTTGAATCTCATTTCCTTGAGAAACTCCCACGCGTGTGTGGTAATTAAAACTTTCTTCTCTTGTTAATATGTCTTTCGTCAGATTGATTCAAGAGCTTCAGCCATTGAATGGAGGGGGTGGGGGAGATTTTTCCTCCTTTATGATACAGTTTAAAATTTCCCTGGTACCAAAAGGGAAAGAGATCTTCACTTCCATTTCTTTCAGCATTTCCTTTAGAAAACTTATTAATCTTCTCTGTCTCTTTGAGATATATGTAAGTCTTTAAA